CATGAGAGAACTTTAAGCTAGTACTGGGTGGAAGAGGAGAATGTTTACATATATAGTTTTCCTCCCTCCTTCTATGCTCTTTTCCCACTAGTATATACAAATTTAAGCTAAAACCTGTATCAATGTAATGCTATGGTTGATTCCTGTTAACTCAATGTTTTCACATCTGTTCTCCCTCTCCCACAACCTTAACACAAAAATAAAGTCCTGTTTTGTATGCTCTTTTACAGCTGAAGTGTGGCTGGCGGAGCCCCTTATAGCCTCCCACCCCCAATTCTCCACCTACCAGGCTTTGGGGGCGTAGGGAGAGAGCTCGGGACCTCTTCCTTGCAGCAGGGTGGTGGGGTAGGGTCTTTTGTCTAACTGGGAGGTGGGTCTTGTGGCTTCAGTCCTGCGGGGTATGCTTGCTGGGGTTCGGGGAGTCAGCAAGAGAGGGGCTGAAGCCCCAAGCCTCGCCAGACGCACCCTGTGGGGCTGAAACCCCGAGCCCCAGCAGGTGTGCTCTTGAACTTCTGAAGCTTGTCGTATACGGCTTGGAGGGTCAATAAGTTTGGCCGGCCCTGGTGCTGTCATGCAATTAGCGCCCATACCATCACCACACACTTGTGCAGTTTTCCTAGATCAGCTGCTTATTTAATATTGCTATGTCTGTGTGTATTTCCAGTCAAGTGAAACTTCCTAGAATTATCTTGTGAAGTGCTGACAGCTGGATTTTAGTGAATTGCAATGGACTATCAGCATGTCTTCCTTCAGTGTTGCTAGAACAGATATAAAGTGAGAGCAAGAGCAGAATGGCAAGGAATTCACACAAAAATAAAGCATGTAAAGATGCTGGAATCCTTAAAGCTTATATATACTGAGTAGTCCCCTGGAGTTCACTATCTTTTGTAATAGATCATTCTTCATGTAAGATACCTTGTTTATGGTAACACACTTCTAAGGATCTCGTACTGGATTTACAAATGTTAAACCTTTCACTGCACCAGTAGGGTGAAGTCACACACAGATTTGTTACCATTTAAAGAGATAAAGAATGATGTTTAAAACTATTCTACAATAATATACAATGTATGTTACGAAAGAGCTAAAAAATTCAAAGTTGACTCACTTCAACCATTTATGCTATTCTGTTACATAAATTTTAAAATTCACTAATCTGTCAGACTGAAATGAGAGCTACTTCTGTGTGGACCCAGTCCAGGAAGTGTTTTATACTTATGCTCTCTGTTGGCTTACCAGCTATAGTAATTCCCAGAAACGTGCTGACATTTTTGAATATACTGGCACAAAGTAAAAAAGAAAGCCAGTTAATTTCTTGCTCTCTCAAAACCATAGGAAGGAAACCTGCAGTTATTACTGGAATTTAGTAACATTGAAATCATTAGGCTTACTATTGTGATGTATACTTGGTATCTATTAATTTTGGATATAATTATAATTATTGATAAAGTTATTTTCAAACTGCTCTGGTTTGCAAACTATGGAGATTAAAATAAAATGTAAAAAAATTCTTCAGTGTCCTTGAATACTTGGGTCATTACAGCAATAATAGCTGCTGCCAAAAACAAAAGAACAGTTCTTCCCATCTTTCATTTCTTCCCTTCCCGGCTCAAATCCCAATCATTCTTCCAGTTAACCAAAGTTGAAGAGGGTTCCCACCAGAGCTAGTTAGTAGTACCCGAGTGATCAGAAGGGCTACTGTAGAAAAACAAAAGGTGCTTGCACTCATACCTGAGCATTATCTCAGAAGCTGACCTGTGCCAAACCTTCAAATTCAGATCCTCTCTATATTGGACTGTCGTGGAATAGCTGTATTTCCCCATGACTTAAATGAGGTTCTAATTAGAATATTTACATAAGCCTAGGAAACTTACTACTTAATTTTAAAAGTTTCAGAAAGTGTTGTGAAGGTTTGATTTAAACTTACCTTTCTGGTTTCAAACTGAGCTTCTTCTTGGCAACACTCTCTGCAGAATGGATCTAGTTGATTCAAGCTAAATTGTCCCAGAAGGTTGCAAGAACTACATAGCAAGTTACTGGAAAAGCCTAGTTCTCTGCATGCTTCTGATGATAACTGCGCCCCATACACAGATATCTGAAAGCGAATAAACAATCATTACATATTTTAGCATTTCAAATAATTATTTGCAGTTGTGGGAAGGGAATGCTATTTAATAGCTAGTCAGGACTCTTGGGTTCTACTCTTGACTCTACAACTAATTTGCTTTTTCAGTTTAGGTAAATCACTTAAACTCGTGTAGCATTGTAGATACGCTACAACTCTCCATTGCAGCTGTGCTCCTGAGGATGTAGCAGTGGGCAGTTTCTGGAAGCCTACTTTGTTTTCCTGCTCCAAAGCAGGCCCCAGTACAGCTGTTCTTGCATACAAGTTCAGGTGTGTGTGCATGGTCTAACACACTTCAGCTGTGGGAAAACAGTCTGGCCCCACACAGCTTTTACTGTGGACAGTTCAGCCAATTACAGTATGATTACAGCATTCATATGCAACTCGGAGAGAAATAAAATAAATGCTTAGAAGAAGAAAAAAAAAAGGTAGAGAATGTAATGAACCCAAAATGAGACTTGGCAATCATTGATGCATTAAGTATTATTACTCCTGCATATTTTCATTTTTCAACAGGAGAATGAACACGTTAAAACAGTGGTTCTCAAACTTTACTGGTGACCCTTTCACATAGCAAGCCTCTGAGTGCGACCCCCCTTATAAATTAAAAACACTTTTTAAATATATTTAACACCATTATAAATGCTGGAGGCAAAGCAGGGTTGGGGTGGAGGCTGACAGCTCGCAACCCCCCATGTAGTAACCTCACGACCTCCAGTTTGAGAACCCCTGTGTTAAAAGGTATAAATTACCTAGGGAATCTGTAGAATTTCCATCATTGGAGATTTTTAAGAGATTAGATCAGTGGTCCCCCCAAACTTTTTACCTCATGCACTTCCCCCTCCTCTCCCCAGAGCTGTGGCAGGGCCGCAGCTCCAGGAGGAGGGGGCCCCAGCTGGTGGTGTGGGTGGGGCCAGGAGTTAGGGCCTCAGGCCTGGAGCAGAGCTGAAGGTGGAAGGCGCTCCCTCACCTCCTGCATGGGGGCTAGCCCAGGCCTCCCCCACATTCCTCCATGTCACCTTAGGGGGACGCCCCACAGTTTGGGAACCTCTGGTCTAGATAATACTTAGTCCTGCCATGAGCACAGGGGACTGGACTAGATGACCTCTTGAGGGCCCTTCCAGTACTATGATTCTATAACATTTCCTCTAATTTTCTTCCTATGGTACTTTCAGTAGCTGTGTGTTTTGCAGCTCAGTAAAAAAGGATAAATATTGTATTTAATACAATCCTACATTTTTCATGCATGGGTGGATGGGGAAACTAAGTTTTGTGTGTGTTTGTTTTTTAATTTAAGCCATCACTGCTCATCAACACTATGGAAAGGGAGAAGTCTTACAGATCAGATTCAGATAGCAAGGGCAGCAGTAACACAACATTCTCCTCACTATACAACATCCATAAACCATGAGCCGAAAGGGGCAACCACACAGCCCTTTTCCAAATCCAAACCACAGCTTGCTCTTGGTACTGAGAATGCCGAGCTCTAACTAATACTATGGTACGGTGTCGGGTTAGGGATGCATGGGGACAACATCCAGTTGGAAGGAGAAAACCAGCTCACTCGTTTCCCGAGTTACCGTTCAGCCTCCAGAGCAGCAACTTTTTAGTTATAGTCAACCCAGGTTAGAGCCGAGAGGGTAACCCGGAGAGGAGAACCTCTACCTCTCAAAACCACATCAGAGCCACCCACCCTCCTAAACCGTATCCACCACGGGCGTGAGCCGGGGCAGGACCAAGCCCTCCCCGCGGGCGGGGCAATCAGCACCGCCGCTTTCTAGCAGGGACAAGGAGAGAAAACGGCGCAGGCGGGAGCAGGGGGAAAGGACGGGGGGCGGGGGAAGAGAAGGGGAACGTGCGGGTATCAGTTATGGGAGAAAAGACGAGCATGAAAAGAGCCGTCCCGGCCGCTAAGCCACGTCTCTCTGTCACTCACTGCCCCCGCCGGCATCTCGCTGCCCGCCAGGCCCTATGGGCTTTCGCCTCCCTAGGGAGGAGTACCCACGGCAGCCCTCTCCCTCGAGCCCAACCAGATTGGAAGCTGCCCTCACCGCCTGCAGCACCGCCAGGAACCAAAGTGGCCAGTGCCCCAGAGCCGTTAATCCTGTAACCGCCGCCATTTTAGTGCGGAGCTGCTCTGTCAGCGCCGCCGCCGGGAGGCTGCTCTCAAGACCCCACCCTCGTAGGGTGACCCTTCGCTGCCTACGTCGAAGGAAGCAAAATGTACGAGTAGGACCCTTACACCGCCGAGGGAAAAGATTATCCCAGGGCTCTTTATGTAGAGAATCTGAAGCGGAGCTACCTGGCCCTATCCAGGGAAGGGGTTTAGAATGTAGCTGGAGGTATCATTTAGGAACTGTAATCAGGCATCAACGTAGTAACCCCACACGGGTCCTTTTTCTTCTTATAACCTACAGCTCAACAGCGCCCAGACCTACAATCCTGAAGATTGGCAACTAGATTAACCAATGGAGCTGCAATTTTGCTGATTGCCGCGGTGCCAATGCCCAATAATATATAGATATGTGGGCCGGACTTCAGAACAGGTATCCAATGGAGAAGGAACGCGTGTGGGAGGGGCGTCAGGTCCGTACATCCATTTTATTGGGGTGGAGCATTGGTGGGCGGTGTATTGGACTGATCGGCCAATGGGATGGGGAGAGGGTGGGGCGCCGGAGATACCGCCCAATGGTGGAGGGGCCGTGGGTAGAGCCTGTGTTTTGCTAGTCTATGGTGGGGTTTGGTGGGCGTGTGCGCGGTTGGGCGTTCGGTTGCTGAGCAGCGCACGCAGGCTGGGGGAGGGGCGCGGGCTGGCGGGCGGCCGCGGAGTGAGGCTAGTGAGGGGCGGGCTGGCGCGGGGGGCGGCTGAGACAGTGCTGGCGGGGGGGCCTCTGGAGGGATGTGAGAGCTGTGTGTGTCCCTTCGTGCGAGCTCACTGCCACCCTCGCGCGCTGCGTCCCTGCGGCCCGGCTGAGGCTCCCCTCGGCCTCTCCGGCCGGGCCCCACGTTATGTCGTGATCCCGGGCGGGCGGCGCTGCTGCTGCTGCTCATGGGGCTGCTCAGGATTATGCTGCCGCCCAAGTTGCAGCTGCTGGCGGTGCTGACGTTCGGGGTGGCCGTGCTCTTCCTGGAGAACCAGATCCAGAAGCTGGAGGAGTCCCGCGGCAAGCTCGGTGAGTGCGAGAGGGCCAGGGCCTGGGGGCACTTGGGAGAGAGAGGTGGGGAGGGGGTGATGGAGGGGAAGGGCTGGTGCTGGGGCTATTGCTGCGGTTGGGGGACAGGGCTGGGGGAGAGCCGGGGCCACAAGCTCAGAGGAGGGACGAGGCCCAAGGACCAGAAGCGCTGAGGCGGGAAGGGGGCATAGGTGAGGTACGGGGACTATGCACATATGGAGTGTGTGCCGGGTGGATACCGCACAGAGCTGAGAGGGAAGGGTGCAGTGAACAAAGGTGGAGCTGGCGGGGAAGGGGAGAGATGGCAGTGCACAAATCTGGAGCAGTATCCGGAGGATGAGGAATTGGAAAGGGTAAATCCCCCCCTTTCATATGTTGAACCCACTAATGTGGGATATGGGAACACAACTCCTCTTCTCCCAGATGGCCCTTGTGTTTACATGTCTGGAAATTATAAGTAACTTGAACGATATGATTTGGGGGACCCTGCAAAAGAGGTTGTAAACAGTAGAGGAAGCAGCCGTGACCTTTGAGTTTGTATGCATATTATGCAGGATCGTGAAGCCAATGAGAGATTGGTGTTTGGGGAAAATATATAGTTATAAAGAATCTAAATGCACATTTTGTCAGAAAGGGAAACGAAAGTTAAAGATCACTATTGTGCTATTAGCAGCTGCTGGCCTCTGTGTGTATTGTGTGAGATGCAGTTGGAGACTGAAGTGCAGCAGTGATACCTGAAGCAAGCCCAGCTTTGCTTCCTCCTCCGTGTGCTGCTGCACATATTTAGCCTAATCGCCTTTATTTTGACATAATAACAAAGGTAAATACAGAAGATAATTATAGTTAAAACATGTATGTTTGGTGAAAATCATCTTAAATCACTGTAATTATAAATTCACATGATTTGTTTTACTCTTCCTGAACACAGGTTTTAAATACTTCTATTTAGCAAGTGGTGGTGGTGGTTATTGCTAGCCTCATATGCTCTGTTATGAAACAGTAGTTAAACAGTATAAAAGTACATCCTAATAACTGCCATATACAATTGTTTTTTCCTGTAAAAAAAGTTTCCCTTTTCAGTTGTGATTTCTCTGCTAAAATAACACTTTACTACTTCATGTGTACATTAAATGTCAGACTACAGAACCAACAAGCATCGGATTAAACCTAATCAAAATGAGGAAATGCCATTTCAAGGCCAATACAGTTCATTTACCTAAGAGTTGTAATTGGAGAGCAGTGAGACCCCAGAAATACCTAGGCATGGTGAGGTGGGCTGAGAACAAGTTCAGCCCATGTTTCTAATTGCCTAATCTGCTCAATATTAGTAATTTGTGGTAAAATTCTTAATATTTGAATGTTTATGGATTAATCCAAGAAAAAAAGGAATGAATATACAATGTTCTTACTAGCAATAAGACTAGAAATGGATTTTGAGTGCAATGAGAAGTTTAATGTTGCAAGCCTATGAAAGAGGTGAAATCGGAGTAATGGTCAAAATGATGAACACATATTAGACATGGTTTGTTATCTGGATTAGGTAATGGAAGTTAGTGTCCTGTAAGAAGGCAGTGAGTGATTGACTGGATGAGCGGTCTGAGTCTTCTTCAGCTATACTTATTCAACTAAAAGTTACTAATATTTGAAGGGTGATTTTGTTTTTTTTCATAGTTTAAATATTTTAAGCAATGGTGTTATGTGAAAAAGGGAAATACTTGTTATGGAATCATAGAATATTTTGAGCAGATATTGTTGATAGAGCAGTCGAGGTTTAGTTGAGTTTTGTGCAAGTCTATTTTTAATTGTTCGGTGCCAGTGGTTTAAGTGCATCTAATGCTGGCAATGGATGTCATACAGGAAAATCCAAGTCCTGCCACAAAAGGATTAATGTAATGCAATGTGAGAGTAAAGAGTATTGCTGGTAAGATTTCCCAACCCTGTGCTCCTCCTTAATAGATATGCACTGGACATGATTAAGTTACATATTTAGAAGATTGAAATATACAGCTCAGTCTGCCTCAAGAAAAGAATCATATCACTGTTTTGCTGATGCTGTTTTTATTTTTTAAGAATGCTTAAACTCTGATTCTGAGCTTTGATATTAAAATATAATTGGAAAATTTGCCTTATAATGAACTTGTTAGTGGCTGCCAAAGTTTGTGTGGGAGGAGAAGCTAGGGCTTTTTATTTTTAGTGTTGAATTATTCTATATGGGTTTAACACTATGTTAGATCATGTGTGTTTTTAATCTTGATTAGGTAGTACCTTTGTATGAAAGACCTGTTGCTACAGTGATGTCCACCAAAAAGTGCCCCTTATTTTTTGTGCATGTTAAAAGAAATAAATTGAAATTGATAACTTTGTCTTCATTTTAGAAACGTTCTGTATCTGTTAGTACTATTTCCATCCAACTGTGATACAGAGAACGTAGTTTCACTAAATTAAACTAATCAATTTTGGCCCGATACACTTGGTTTAGAGGAGTGAACGTAAAGAAAAAGAAGGCGGGGTGTGTGGAAAGACTAGTGATTCCATGGACTGCTTAGAATAATGACTGCAATTTAGTTGAAAGGCCTATGAAAGTAGTCTGTGACATTAAATATTGCTCTTAACATGGTACAAACAATATGTAATTTAGTTTAAGTCCCATATTATTGAATTATATGTACATAATATATCACATGAGAAACCATGTCTTGATGGGATGTAGAAATGAATAACTGCATGACTTACATTCTGACTCAAACTACAGTATGTCACTTTAATGGAACAGTTAGCAGAAAATAGTTCTACGGAGTCTTATGAGCAAAACTCATAAAACAGCATTTCCTGATACTTTCTGATGGAACAGGATTCCCTGACATGCAAGCTCCATTGGTTTCTATATTGCAACAAGATTTTCACTCCGATTCAGGATTAATATAAAATAACTCACATGAAATGAGAAATGGGTGCATCTTTATGGGAGAAAGAGAAAAAGGGACAGTTTTATTTTCTTGCGAGTATAATTCATTCATTCTTGCAGCTAAATTCCAAAGTCACTATTATGTATAATTTTTACCTCTTTAAGGACTTCAGAAGTTAATTTGCAATGGGCATTTGCTTTTCTCACATTGTGGCTAAATTCCCCCTTTATTATTCAGATTGCTATGCTCCTAATGTTGCCTTTAAAAATGTTTAAATAGTGCTATTGTGAACTTGGTTTGACGTTTTCTTTTGAATAACTGATGAGCCCACCATGGGCAACACTTGTTTCTTAAGTAAGGGAAATCTTTTTCAGTTAAAAAAATAAAAATAAAGTATTGCTTTAATATCAGAGAAGTTGGTCTCAGGATTCTTATTTTTCAAGGGGCTTCTGTCTTATTGTTTCATGTGGACAGAATAGCAAACCTTTTTTAGAATCCCATATTTATTAAGGGAATAATTGAATATGAAAATGATTTACTATTGCTTCCTGCCCCATAGTACCCTGGAAAATCTTGTTTTTTCTTGTGAAATTTAGTTAATCGTTGAGAAAATAGGATTTATTTTTGCTAATTGAGCAGATCAAGTAGAGAATAAAGAAAACAATTGTGTCTCTCTCCTCCCCCCCCCCCCCCCGATTTTCTTTTTTGTTGTTTATGGTTCACTTCTTAGGTATATATTAATCTAAATTACTTTCTTGTAGTGTATTAAATATTGGCTATTTCCAAAGCCCTGTGGTCCCAGAAAGTGATGGATCTTTGGGCCTGCTGGCCCTTTGCAAGCAGTTCGTGGTACTTAATTTATTGTCTTTCAGAGTATTTCTGGTGTCAAAACCCAGGTTCAGGTACCTCTTTGGGTGGGGTATTAACATATAACCAGTAATCCTGATTATAATCTGTAATTTTATAGTAAACATTTTTAAAATATATTTATTTATTCTCTAAAATTTATGACAAAACTTAATTTGTTGTTGCAGTTTTCTAACTAAGGATATCTAAATCTGATTTATAAACTATTTAGTAAGAAGATTGAATTCTAACTTTGTTCTGTGAAGATAAAACATGACTTTGAAGTAAGCCTCTCTTTACTTTCTGCCAAAATCAACTCAGAGTTTATAACTGGATTTATTCCCTGGGCCATCCCATAATATTGTTAAGTTTCCCACTCTGTACCCACATTTGGCAGCTATTACATAATGATGGTGCTACCAACTGACTCCAACATGTTCATAAAACATTTATTAACAAAGAGTTAATTTCACTTTAATATTGACTGACTGATAGTGCACATTTTATTTGATCATCCTTAAAGGGAGAGGTGCTTATCGTTTCCTGCATTCCAGCAGGAATTGGGTCATGTAGCTCATACCCAATGGTATAATGCTGCTGTGATATAGTGACTGAGCTAGGAACAGATTGCCCCATTGTATATATGGGCATACATTTTAGGCAACAATGAGATCAAGTATGAGCAATGATGTGTTTTGTTGAGGGCAAGAGCGCCATTGACCATCCAAAAGAGTCTAGTCTGAGATTTTGAATACGTGGCTATGCCATTACGTACACAGTTCTTGCTTGGATTTATTTCTAAACATATTTTAAAGGATGGAATCTACTAGTTCTAAAATCTGAAATGACATTGGGACCTGAAACAATCATTTAAATTCATTAGCTACAGATACTACTTCCTTTTGTTGAATAAATCACTTTTAAATGCAAAACATGCTTTCATAAACTTTTTTCCTTATGTATTAGCACTTTTAAGGTAGTTTTATTTAACAAAAAATAAAATGCTGTTTTAGTGCATTTTAATTGAATTGAATTTCCATCCAAATAGAGCTTGACACAAACCACAAGTAAAATATCATCATTTATTAAATAAAAGATGCATCATTCACCATTTTCTAACAGTGTAAAAATTAAGAATCTGAATAAATGTAATTTAAATTATATAGTTACTTACATTATATCTATACGCATTTATCCTCTTGATTAGCAAGTAGAAGCACCAAATTTAATAGGCTTTATTTTGTTACA